CAGTTAGAAGTCCGTAGCTCGGGAATCGACACACGATTAATATTTATTCTCTTCAAAACATATTGCCAACCACCACGATGTCTTTGATTGCGCTTTTTTGTAACTTGTGCAGCGAAAGTTCGTAGGCTTTTTATGAACGCGCCTGTATAAGTTGTGCGAATAATAGACATAATGAGACATTGAAACAAAATGAAAAACAGATAACTTGTTGAAATAGTTAGATGGCAGAAATAGGTAGCCCAGATATTCAGTCAGGCCTCTGACAAAGTCTTTAATTAATAACGTATAAATATCTACTTACGCAATTGATGATTCTTTAAGAACAAGAGTACCTCACTAGATATCGAAACTGGGCTTTGCATGAAGGATTTGGATAAGATGCTACTCGATATTCTGAAACTTAACTGACAATTATTAGGGCCATTTAGGACAGGAATAATCCTAATGCAGAGCCCTTAAGTTCATGGGCCCCTCACGTCTCTAGTCGATGAGTGACCGATCACAATTTATGGTACCTGTAAATGTTTGTAACAATATTGTCGTGAACTCACTTGTCTCGTTCATTTGCGAGCTTCTCTCTGCTGAAACTGAACATAAATAATATGAGCACTTGACCCGAATAACTATACGTCAACTTTTCAATATGAGGCGATTCCATAGTCTGGGCTACTGAAAACTGAGGTATTCTACTTCCTAACGGCTTTGAAAGACAGATAAAAATCTGAGTAATATCAGCTATGAAAAAGAGCAGATTAGAAAAATACAGAATGTAACGACAAGAGTCATATCGTCGATCGATCGACCTGGACTAGTCATCATCAACCGTCACGAAACTCGGTTAATATTTCAGCATCTAATGATTAGTCTTCTAGTGATAGTTGGTCTATACATATATGTAACTTTTAAATTTAAAGAGTAAACGTTGTCTATAAAACCTAAAATACTTAGTATCAGCACATTGGGTTTAAGACTTAGGGTCGAAAGCACATTTGTATCGTCGTTTTCGCCGAGAGAACACAGAAGATATGGATTCAAAAGACAGCACATCACAGAGCACATAACCGGGTACCCTGCTATATTTTTATAAAGACTTACTCCAATTCGAGGTTTTCCTCCAGCGAAAGTGAAAATAGCCACCTCAATGTATGGCTTCAAATATGTACTCACCCGAGAATTAATATATCCCGATCAAATTAGTTGTGAACGATGAATGTCTAGTAACTTATCTTCTGTTATCATATTTCATTAACTTACTTCTATCTCGGTTGTTATCATCTCCATTCCCTTTTCTACTCCTTAATTTGGGTCATCCCATAATGTCTGCACTGCCAGTTAATTAAGTTAATGATTTAGTTCTTGAAAGAATCGTCTACTCTGAGCACTCGAATCTTCTTGTTATTGTTTTTCACATTGTGATCAACAAACCTCCTGCGTGATATTGCGGTAGCCGAAATAAACTCACCACGATCACATGATATACAAATTGACAAATAACCTCCAAACTGACAGGAAATAGTGCATTTAAGTCGTTAGACCGTTCCTCGCTGAAAATGGGATATTATATGTGTTTACAGGGCTATTGTTTACATAGGGTTGTAGGTCGTTGTGATGCTCTTAGAGTCTGCGCAAAATCAAAAGTGTGCGTAACATCCCCGGAAACTTTAGATACACTTTATCAAAGTTCACAAACAATTACCTCCAACTTGATAAATGCATAGAACAAGCCTTATGTGGAACAGACTCACATTAGAAGTACGGTAAACCAGGTTGTACTTTAGGCACGACTTCTAACAAGAGATTGTATTAAACTACTATGAGCTGCTTTTCCGAGTCCTCAAGAAATAGTTTTCGCATCCTCATGAAAAACGTCGTAGAAGCATCTTGCACTAGATTAGTCATCACGTGATTTTAAGACTTGACTACTGTTAAAATTCAGAAGGCGCTCTTGCATTCCGACATGGTATGTCACATTTATTTATTTGTGTCACATGTCTTCTGGTGGGTTGGGAATGTTGCTCAGGATCATCCATAAGGTGCAGCTCCATCTTCAGGATAGAACGAGACTTGAAGAAGTCTAGTCTTCATTTATAGGGATCATATGCGATCCTATAGTTCGGTCAGGTATTGTTAGTCCTTGAGTTAGGTATTTCTATGAAGCTCAAACTTATTTCTGAAGGCATTCATAGTTTCATCTGGCGCGTTTTGGGTGCACTGGTTACTGGCCACTTGATCAAAAAGTGGAATCATACCCTGAGCTTTCTTGATTGAGGTTACTGCTCATTTTTGTGATGGCCTCCTATATAATCGATCTCATGTGGAGCAAAAATGTAATATATTGTCAGCGTCTGAATGACTTTTTTGCATGAAAAATGTGCCAGCATAAGACTGGGTTGCTATGTAGGATATTCTGAAGGTATCTAAACTTTTTATACACCATTAACAGGAAAGATCGGAAAAACTCAATGCCAGCTTTATCTCTACGGCCGTTGAGCAGCAGATCGAACCTTTGAGCGATACTACCGTGAAGCGTTTAAAACAGTTCGTGAAATTCTGATGTTTAGCTGTAATTAAGCCTCGATCTAGAAAGTTTCTCCGTGTTCTGCAAAGGTCTTCAAGCGGATTTATTGTTTTTCAATATAAGCGGAAAATCTACTCCCCCCAAACTTTGCTTCACGAAATAGATTTTTTATAAAACGTAATTACTTTTTATCTGGTTGTTTCTCAGTTGTGCAACTGTGGGCTGAAAACTGTAAAATGATCCAAATCTCTTCCACTGAACCGATTCTTCCCCAGTGCAACTGACAGGCTGTAGTTAAAATGTGAAAAAGCCTTACACATGATTTTCATGTTTTATCTAATCATACATTCACATCTTCAGTAGCCCAAGGATCTCTCTTAAGTAACATAGATAATGTGGCAGTTCATGTAGGAAGGTCTGTCAAAATATGTCGGTATACATTCAGGATAATAATTATGGAAATTGTTCAGTCAATATCCACTTTGAAGCAGTTGTAGACGTAGGAGGTGAATGTTTTCGGCTTATCTTTTCTATATTCTCTACAGAACTCCGTACTATGTATAAGAGTAGATAATCGTGCCATAATCAACAACGAAAATAGCTAAACTAGTAAATGACATTGGAAAACTAAATTGTCTCATGTATGGTCTTATACCGTATTCGAAAACTTATAGTAATATTCGGCAGGATACTGTAAGGCTCAAAACTAGTTATAAAACATTTTCATCTATATATGCATAACAGAATATATAAGTTAGTTACAACATCGATATCGTCACCTGCTTGAAATAAAAGTACAAGTTTCGATCGATACAAATTTAAAAAGAATGAGGACCTTCCAGCAAAGAAACGTTTCTTTACGACAATATAATTTTTTGAAGCTGTAAAATCGTATTTGTAGGTAATTTTTACACGTAGTATTCTATGGTGAAATACAGAGGTTTTAAAAGATTATCAAAAGTGGTCAAACTTATTCAACTGCAAGTCACTGGAATTGGATTGATATTGTGTTGTATAGTGAAGATTATCAAAACTTTACTTCAAGCGTTAAGCGTATTAATTCACGAATACAAGGATGTTGTTTGAGTATATTTAAAGTTTCCAAGTGCTGAATAAAAATGGTTGTCTCATTTAACAAGTAAACCAGAAATCATCAAGCACTTGCGTTATTTAGTGGTTTCTGAAGTTCTTAGAGGTAATAAATTACAGAATGAGAGCTAAAAATAAATGTTCACTTGACAGATGATGAGATAATAATTAACAATATAATTTGTGAAATTCAAAGAGTTGCTAGGATCATGGGTGAATAATGGATTGAACACGACTTTTCTGTTCACATCGTTTGGGTTTGAAATGGTAAACTGCTATAGGCGTTTGCAGATAAGTGTTAAGGATGAATTGTCGCTCTGGGTCACCTCACTGTGTATCTATCAGTTTGCCTGCTCTTGTGGAGCAGGCTATATTGGCCGTACAAATTAGGCACTTGGTGAACAAATATTCGAACACTAGCTTTGATGGTTACTTAAAGGGTAATACAAATCGGTTAACAGCTTATCTGTTGAACACATGGTCAATCGTTACCAAATCCATAGCGTGAATATTTATTCAAAATTCTTTCCCAAATATTTGTGTACAGCTGAGACGATAGCAAATCACCACTTCAAACCCAAACGATGTGAACAGAAAAGTCGTGTTCAATCCATTATTCACCCATGATCCTAGCAACTCTTTGAATTTCACAAATTATATTGTTAATTATTATCTCATCATCTGTCAAGTGAACATTTATTTTTAGCTCTCATTCTGTAATTTATTACCTCTAAGAACTTCAGAAACCACTAAATAACGCAAGTGCTTGATGATTTCTGGTTTACTTGTTAAATGAGACAACCATTTTTATTCAGCACTTGGAAACTTTAAATATACTCAAACAACATCCTTGTATTCGTGAATTAATACGCTTAACGCTTGAAGTAAAGTTTTGATAATCTTCACTATACAACACAATATCAATCCAATTCCAGTGACTTGCAGTTGAATAAGTTTGACCACTTTTGATAATCTTTTAAAACCTCTGTATTTCACCATAGAATACTACGTGTAAAAATTACCTACAAATACGATTTTACAGCTTCAAAAAATTATATTGTCGTAAAGAAACGTTTCTTTGCTGAAACGTCTTCATTCGTTTTAGTAATGGAAATGTGTGCGGCTATTGAAATTGAATCTTATTGTCAACGTTTTCAAATTAACATGCCTTGGATTTAGCTAGGGTATTAATTTTGCGGAGAACACTGGTTTTAAAATCGATTCAAGTCAGCAAAAATTAAGATATATCCGCTTATTCTTTGTAATAGAAAGATTCAAGAGAAATAACACTCCTTTTTTCAATGTGTACTGTGAAGAGATTTCAACACCGCCAGTCACTTTAATAAAGTCCAAGAGTTTTGATAAGGAGCTTCCTACTAAACTGTACCTAACCCGTGCACAGTGTTGTTTGAAGTATCGCATTGACGCTAAGATATCTTACTTTAAAAACGAAGTTTGATTTTGCCAAGTTACTCTGGAGGAAACCATTTTGTTACAGAAATTGTCGAAGTGTTTTGGACTTTTCTGTCATATCCTTGGATGAATCGTTGTGTGACGACGTCATGAAACATTTCAAACAGTGAACTGAGAGATAACATTTGTATCTTTTGTTCTTTGTAAGATCAATAACTTTATGAACTGCGACCCGTAGTCTTATGAACACAAAAATAACTTCAGATAGAATTCGAAATCCGTTATTCGTTAGTCACTGAGTGAAACGCACTGCCAGCACTAGTGATATTAACTCATTTAGTGACTGGCTACACGGAAGTATCATGCTTTTATGTTAAACTATCTAAAAAATAAAGCTTACTGTGTCTCTGTAATTAAAAACAAAGGTTGTGGAGAGATTCTTAACCTCTAAGTCGAAGAGTTCGTAATTACAACAATGCTGACTGGATCTTACGCTGGTCAGACGTGCAAAAATAAGCGCGATGGTGGGTTTTTCTTAATACTTATAAGACGCTAATCAGGCATGGGAACATATCTCTATAAAAATGGATACTACAAGTATGAAGGTGAATGGATTAATGGTAAAAGATGTGGTGAGTGTTTTGGCTTCACCTAATATCCTAGGGACTGGAAGATTTTCTATGAAGGATGGAAGTATTTATGAAGGCAGCTTTATTGATGGGGAGATGTGTGGAAATGGACGAAGATTTTATGCACTATCAAAAAACGAATATATCGGTCACTTTTTGTTCGGGGAACGTCATGGGTATGGTCTAATGAAGTATGGAGATGGATCCACGTACGAAGGAGATTGGTATCATAATTTGCAACAAGGTAATAATTCCTTGCTAAAAACTAAAAAGAAGGTCATGGAAAGTATGTCGATGTAGACAAGAATAAATATGTCGGTGAGTTTTTTCAAAATAAAAAAAATGGACCAGGATGTCTGCATTCACACAAGTATGTAAGAGCTTTTTTCAATTTATGGGTAATTTGCCGAAGACTTTCTTACATAGGATATTGGAAAAATAATATTTATGATGGTAATGGTATCCTAAAGATGATAAACGGAATGACATATGAAGTAAGAGCAACTTACTCAAATAATGAGATTTACCTTTGTATTTTTAATGATAGTACAGTAATTTTAGCAGTGTAGTTTTCAATTACATATCATACAAATAGTTGATCTTTTAAAACAGACGGTTATTCTATTTTTCCAGTGTTATTAGTCTGCAGTACATCTTAGTTAATATGAAATGGATTCAAAATTTTACATCCAGCTATTAAGACATTATACTTTTCTTCATATAAGTTATAATGTTTAGTATTACGCTTGAAAAATCTTGTAGAACAACAACATTTAAAATATCAAATGATGAGAACTTAGTTACTTTATATGTTTACTCCATGTTTTTCATTGTTTAATTGACAACATTGTATGTTAAAGCCATTTATATAATGATAATAAGCTTTTAATTTGATTTTTGTGTGTGCGGCCAAAATACAGTCAGTTTTATTAGTTACGATACGTGCATTGTGATTGATATATTGTTCAATGTACGGATCTCAGTAAAATTAGCAATAAGATCAATAATCCGCTTAGTCTATTCAGTATTTAATAGAGTCTGATGTTCGCTAATTACACAGGACGGTTATTTATGGTGGTATTGTAGTACTTAATGAATCAAAAAATAACTGTACCATGAGGAATCTAGGTGTAGTGATAGCAATATGACTAGGATTATTTGTGTGAATTTCTACAATTGTCATACTTGTGAACATCAGAAAATAAATGAACGTCATGATTACAACTAATAAATGTTATCGTAGCACTCATGGTATATTGACAACTTTGTGTGAATCTTTTTTATTAGGAGTAATATGTATAAAAAATAAAAAAACATCAACTTCATTTGTCTTGTTAGCGCTATAATTTAAATAAATTAGTAATGCAGAGAAAATTGACGCATCATGTAAACTGTCAGCAGCAGATTTTGTAAAACTGAAAATTCTAATTAAAGAATTTCTGTAAGAAGTTGGGTTAACTTCTGCAGGATCTTCGCCATAATCTAACCACTAAAATAAACTCTTGACTATAGTATAGCCAAATAACATTGAAACAAAGCTAACTATATGGAAGATTTCTATTCTCGATACAAATAGTCTTCAACTGATTTATATTTAACTAAAGTAATATTCTGTATGTTGGGATTTCGATAAGAAGATACTTTATTTGTCCATTATGGCTCATTTCTACTGCTGTACATGCAATAATTTGTTATCCAACCTTACTAAGATATGTGAATTATCCAGGCTTTGTTCCATAGGCTTTATGAGTTACATTATATTATGGATATGTCGATATTTTAACTGATTAAATTTCTACTAGAAGCTGTTTTGTATTCGCAAGTAAGAATTTATGTATTATCGAGCTTTCAGATACGCGGAAATAATATATATCTAGTTAAACACAGGCTTTTGTTTCCTAGTGTAGTTTACTCATAATGTTTATTTTTAAGCAAACTAAGATAGTCACAGCTTACTAACTAAAAATTGATCGAGTCTGAGTTCCTATGGATTGAAACTTAAGTTAATCATTCAGGAAAGTTTTGGGAGATCTTACATCCGAAGAAAATTTGGCCAGATTGTTTGTAGGCATAGAAACGGCTCTGAGGTTATATTTTGATTTCATTAAGATGAAATTTGACCAAACATTTTGTAGGAATTTCCCCAGACACTCTTTAAACACTTTCCAAACTTTTCAAGACTTTCCTCTTGTTAATTGTCCTTTCTTTCGGTATTTATTCAAATATACATCATACATTTATGGCTAGACATGAAAGTTTGTGCCTCAAAAGAAGTAGCTTGCCTTAATTTATATCATGAAACAATTTTCCTTTCAGTTACACCATGAAATTCGATAGTTAGGGTAAACATACTATGTATTGTTATCCATTGCTTCTGTATTTGCCCAATTTTGGGTACTGTTTATATATCTTGTCCCCTAAAGAAATTTAAGTAGGTGTTAACCACCTACTCTGAGTTTCCAATTATATTTTAAGCTCCTCTCCGTTAAAGTAAACACTATCATGTAGTTGAAATCCTATAAATGATAATGAAACCTCTGTTACTGCAGAAAATAAACATCGTAAATCAAGCATGTTTCACAAAACTCAATTTCATGTTTTTACTACTTGAAATTACTTTGCCATTTAGTCTATCAAGTATTTAACTATCACTGATTACATTAATAATTCATTCTAGGGGGAATTCAAAAATGGTAAACCAAATGGACAGGGTAAACTAACACGCAAAGCAAATCTGTTACCTGATTATGAAGGTTTATGGGAAGATGGTCTACCCTGTCAAGTAGCAAATCATATGAAGTTGTCAATTGAATTGGAAAAAGAGAATTTAGGGTCAAATTCATCCTGTTTAGCTGAATATCGAAATTCTCCAATCAAAGAGAAAAGTTATCAGTTTGCTTCATCTTCAAAGATGGAAATTGTATCAAATGAATTGGAGATGAAAGTTAATATTGATATTTGCATATACAATAATACTCGAAGGATTTTAATTGAAGGTAAACATTTATTTTGCTACGAGTTTGTTTTAAGTTAGTTGATAATTTATATTTAGTTATTTGTGATGAGCAGTCAAATATGATGCACTCGTTTCGTCAAATCTAAGTCTTGTCAGTAGGATACATCTATCTTTTAATTCTATCATCATCATGTTGCTATCAACTAGGCCACCGGACTATTGAAGTATGACGAAGATTAAGCTATTACTAGACCAAATAACTCTCTTTTTCTATTTACTTTGACCAAATTGAACGATCATTTTTAACATATAAGCTCTTTGCTGGAATACTATAAATTGTGTTTAAATGTTTGGGTTTGGCTGGTAATTAAGTCTAGATTACAACATTTTTCCTAATTAGGACTCTTTATATCGACATATAATCTCTCGTAGTGTTTCTATTCTCTTAGAAAACCGCCTGATTTATTCAAAGTAACTGACATTGTTACTTATTAGGAACTAAGTAGTATGATGCGTTAACATGACAATAAAATATTCTCAAATGTCACATGCCTAAGAACTGACTTATTACAATACTCATAAACAATGGGCGATTGAGCTTTTATAACAGGACAGTAAAAAACTATTGTGATTTTGATGCTATGGCAAAAACTAATGTTACATAAATATTGTAATTTCCAGGGCTAAATACATTTGGCAGATCTGTCTATTAGTTCATTACTGTCATAAAAGAAGTGTATTTTATTTAAAGGATCTCAACACCATATATTATCTAAACGTGTCACAATTTTGTCAGAATTCTCATGAAGCCTTAACTGCGATTCAAGTTTATTTTCACAGTAGGAGGGAGTTTCTTGACAAGAAATCCCTGTAGAAACATATATTGTATGTTCTGAATTATTGTGAAAATTTAAACGGTATTGCAATAAATGTTGATCTTTGTGATTTACACCAATCAGAGGAATATTTTTTTTCAGTAGCTCTTCATGGTGATTGCATCTAATTAGAGACTTTGGGTGCCATGGTTCAAAATTGTTCGTGACATTGCACGTGCATTCACTCAAAATCTTCTCCTAAAACTTTAAATTCTTTATAAATGTTTTTTACAATTCATTGATTTATATTTTCTTTTTAAATTTTATCTTGTATGCCCAACCTTTCCTATTACTATAACCACTATTACTAACTCTACTACTCTGGGATTTATCCTGACAATTTCATTTCACAATATTATTGGGGTATTACAACTTGAGCCAATGTACACATATATAGGGTTTCATGTTGTGTTTGCCTAATTAACTGACTCTTAATTAGTGCAGTCTATAAATTCGAAGTCATTTATTTTATCCAACAAGAGACATACTATTTACTAAGTGAAAGTAGACCATTTTTAATATTTTTATATCAATTGAATAATCTTATTTAATCTTAAACTTTTTAGAAAGTCATCGACAACTTGCTTTATGGATAGGAAAAGTTTGTAAAGATGATATGCAAAGGAAATTTTCTGTTGATCTTCAAATTTCAGTGGAAACGCCACTCTTGTTATTACTAAAGGAAAAAGGGATTTATACAATGGAGACACCTTTGTAAGTGATCATTTCATTTCTTGAAACAGCCAGTTGTTTTAATAGTATAGGGTGATTTTTTATGAGATGGTGAACTTTATCGAGATTACGAGCCGACTTATGTCACAAAACCGTAGGAAACCGGAAATTATTGGACGACTATTTGTTCATAGTTTGGGACTCCGCAGTAGTGCTCATCGGTAAACCCATGTACTTATGATTACCAAGTACTCAATAATGACTAATTTCGCGATTCCATTTCTGGATTTCTTTAGTATAGCCGTGACCATTAGACTTCAACTATGTCAAGTGTGATGCATCTACCCACTGAAGGCAGTAGAAGATGGTGGTTCAATACTGTGAACTGATTGACGTTAGTAATGTAAACCAATGTGTGCTAGGCCAGTGGTCTAGAGGTGAAACGTTCGTCGCTTCACTTTAAGACGTAGGTTCAATCCTCAGTGTAGTCGTATATCCACACCGTTGAAGAATCCTATAGTAGGGCTAAACAACTCTCCAGTGATTCCTGTTTTCCATTGAATATCTAACTTGAATCGGTTTATAATCTTAAAACATATTTCAAGTTATTTATTGGGTTCAAAAGTCAAAATGTTCATACAATTGATCAATCTCTTGTTGGCATATGTGCATCCTGTGAGGTTTTCGGACTAGTATCCTGGATTCCACTGCTAGCCACTATTCATCTTTGCTTGTGACTTCAGGCAATATCAAAGCGATCTTCACAGGATGCACATATACCAATAAGAGACTAATCAATTGTAGTCCTAAACAACCATGGAAGGTATAAGCAAACAACACCAAATGAATTTGTATTAAAGTGACTTGAAATTTTAGTCAGATATTTAAGTAATTCATTTGTTAGTAATATTTTCTTTTTAAAAAATTCGTTTATTTTATCCGAAATGAGATAATGAGCTTGTAAATTCTCATCAAACCTACAACACTATAATGAATTATCATGAATTGAGATTTAATAAGAAATTGAATCGTATAGAGATAGTTTACATTCTTTGATAAGTTCACCCCTTTTTTTCTCTTTTTCTAATTTCATTTTATCCCTAATTATTTTCAGGTTGTTTTCTTTACTCAATTTGTTTATTGTTCATCTTATAACCATCTTAGACGGTCATGCTCCTTTTTCTTTATATATTTATTTACTTAATTAATTTGTATTTTTTTTATTGGTAATGAAGTTTATAGTAAAAACAGGAAGTTCAATAAAAGGATCTCTTTTCAACGAATTTATTATCAACCTGTACAATTGCATATATATAGATGAAAATTTTTTTCACAGGTTTAAATCATGAGTCAATTGAAGCTAGACCACCATGGAAAACCTTGAAGCACTGGACGGCCGTTTCGTCCTAGTATGGGACTCCTCAGCAGTGCGCATCCACGATCCCGCCCCCGCGGGATTCGGACCTAGGACCTACTGGCTTCGCGCGCGAGCACTTAACCATTAGACCACTGAGCCGGCATCCAGTGGTGTTAATGTCTAACTTCAACCGTGGATGCGCACTGTTGAGGAGTCCCATACTAGGACGAAATGGCCGTCCAGTGCCTCCAGGTTTTCCATAGTGGTCTAGCTTCAATTGACTCATGATTTCAACCTGTGAAATTTCCTAAAATCTCCACAAAACTCATTCTGAAAATTTTTTTGTTAAAGTACTGGTTCCACGCGGAAATGTGAACACGAATAACTAAGATGATGTAATAGAAAGATTATAATACTCGATTATGTAATACGAATAATAACAATAGACTTAATAAGTTAGTAACGAATTAAAACGTAAATGTAGTAAGATGATTAAAATGTTTCTTTCTACAATAACTAAAGGCAATAATTTTGTGAGATAGTGACTTACTGAAGACAATGGTGAATGTGTCTCTTACTGACCGTTATGTTTATCACTTCCCAACATTTGACAAAAAAAGAGATAAAGTGTACTACAATATCAAATAACTTGAACCATAATGTTCATGTTGTTACGAACTTGGTAGAGTTCTATCAGTACTAAGAAATAACTAGACTACATAATAACTTGAATGTTACTAATTATTTATCTCATTATTAGATATTAATTACTGACCAAATAACTCCGATTATGTTACTTATTGGGTTTAAATTCGTAGTAATGTACCCCCCCCCAAAAAAAACCTAAAGACAATAAATTCATTTTGGTGATACATTTCGAGTAGTATAATCTCAGTATAAAGCTTACTATCAATAGCTTTCAACAATCAAACATTTGAAGTGTATAATATAGAAAGAATATAAAAAACGCCTACTATTTTAACGAGTACAAATTTCGCATCACTTATTCTTTATCTATACATAATACTTACTTTGTATATGAAAATTCATTCATGTTTACTAAAGTGAATGGTAAATAATTACTATGATTATTAACAGTACTTTAAAAAAGCTTCTTAATATAACCATTACAAATTACAGTAATTGCATAAAATGCATTATAATAGTTTTGAATTGAGTTTATAATTGGATCCACCAATCAATAAATTTAATTAACTCATGTAAAACTAATCACATGAAATAGTGAAATTGTATTATATACTTAAAGGATCATTTTTATTGATTAGAAATCTTTTTTTTTTTTTTTTTTGATTGGCTATAATCATATTTAGATTGATAAGTTAATGAATAAAATACTGATGGATTGATTAGAATAAAATAGTATGTTGTGTAGTTGGATGTGATCATTTCAATGGTTAAGATCATGAGTTGATTGAAGCTATACCACCATGGAAAGCCTGGAAGCACTGAACGGCCGTTTCGTTGTATTGTGGGACTCCTCAGCAATGCATATCCACGACCTCGCCCCCTGCGAGATGTGATAATTGTTAACGAGACTGAACTCATTGATATATTGTATTCATTTGATGGTTTCTAAAATTAGATAGTTTGTTATAAGTAGACGTATTTGCAACCATGAAGGGATTATTACTGCTTAATAGGTCAGTTAGAAACATAACCTTTGAGGTGTATTGGTTACAGGTGACCTTTTAAAGGGATGAAATTTTCAAATAATTGATCAGTTAGAAGTACTAGTTTTCAACTCTTGTTCTTAGTGTTATCTAAGTTGTAAAGGAGCCGTTAGGTTAATTGATGGCACTCAGTTTTACTACGTTTTGTTATTAAGTAACTTGATGTAATCGAAATGAAGTTATATCCAGACCGTTATTGATATCGGGAGCCGAACATTTACTGGAAAGCAGAAAGCACTGAATAGTTGTATTGTCCTAGTATCCGACTTCTCATTAGTGTACATTCACGGTCACTGGAGACCTTCTGTCTCATGTACGAACATTTAACCTTCGAATCTTTGAGCCGGAATTCACTTCTTTCATAAATATAAATGAGTGTTTAACTTGGGTCGGTTCATCATATCAATAATCTCCACAAACCTCTTTACTTAAAACAAACTTTGATTCGTTTTATCTATCATGTCCCTGTGTTTGTGTGTTCTTGCCATTTTTAAAAAATTATCATCCAACCTGATTAACATTTATAAAATGTCTGCAATTCATTTAGGTTATTTTCAGTTACTTATACGCGAAATATGACTACAGTTCAATAAGTGAAAGAGAAAGACGATTAACTAAGCCCGATTTTTTTATTTTAAACTAGTAACTAAAACATAACAACTGGAATCTAGTTGAAAAAATATTTTTTCAATCAATACTATGAGGATAAAACTTGTATAAAACAGATGAAACGTAGTTAGCAGTGTAATCCAGGATGCGGGTTTTGTCCTATGTGGGACTGATCAGCCAGATGTACTTCATCATCTGTGTTGATGTTCACTCTGGCATGCAAACCTAGTGCCACTCACTTCAAATGCCAACGCATTATCTACTTATTATCTAAGCCCAGATACCCATTCACTTGTGTAAAGGGTATGAATTTTGATTTAATTTTAATATTTTGCATTATCCATACTAATAAAATTAAATTCACAATAGCTGAAAGAAGGGTAAAACTAGTATTTACTAGCCAAAATGAACGGTTTCTCAAGTTTGTAACTGATCCGATTAGTTTCCTAATTAATATACAAACAAAGATAACTTGATTTTATCGTGAACTAAAATTGTTTCGATCCAAATTAGTCGAGGATTATAATCAAATCGTACATCTAAACATTTATTGTAAATATTGTAAATATATCAAGATTACCTAGGACAGGGTTGCATGAATAGTGCTGGTGGGCGGCCTACGCTCCTCCACGAGGAGTAACAGGCATAAGTAAGTAATCTTCTGAAGTGAACAGGTTAAATAAATTTCTGGATGTTTCAGAATATCAAACTAAACCGTCAAAATGGTGATAAAACTATTTGAACAAATGAATAAAATAAAAATCTCTTTTGATACATCAAACAATGATTTCAAAACTATCTATGATTTCAGACTATAGTTATTCAAAACATCTTCATTGTTCATTATGTACTGTATGCATGTTCTAGGCAAATGTTGAATATAATAGTGTAATTTTCACTAAAGGTTTTATTTCAAGTGTCTGGAGTTATATATACCTGTTTCTTATGAATATCTCAGTGTTGTACAGTCTAAACTCATAGATAAAAAGCAAAAATATAGTGAGGGTCAGGGCTTACAATAGAATCCATTGAAAATTACACTAGTATGCATAACTTTTTCCGATAAAAGGGATAGTAAAATAATCGCAAGTATTAAATATAATGAGCTCATTCTACACTATAAGCAGCGACAATTTTACAATTTCATTGCTTTTCAATACTATCCATCTTTTATTTGCTTATGAAGCGTTTTATTGGCCATGGACTTCAACAATTTTAGATAAATGAGTTATCTAAATGAGTTACATTCTTTATCAAGGATTATTGATATATTTTTGAAGGAATGGTGGTGAGAATATAATTTATGGATGACCTTTGAGCGACGCTAGACTGACCTTGAGAGTGTCCACCTGAGAACTAGGACCAAATGAGGGTTATAAATTAGTGTGAAGAATTCGAATTATAATTTACAGTTGATGGTTAAGGTTAGGAATTATATTTAGGGTTTTCATCACGTAATGATATCAGCTATAATGCCAAGACTCTATTTAGCCAAAAAAAGAGAATGAATTTCGCTCCAAAATCCGAGACCTGTTATCTTATACGTGATTGGTTCGTCTATAGATTATAGTCTCGCCGGAATGGTTTGTTTCAAAAAATGAAACATTTGTGTTTGCTTATGTTTTTTGGTTTTATTTCTTACTTGATGTAATGGCTATCTGTATTAACTTACTTATTTAATTGAAATATTAGGTAATGATGTGTTTTTTAAAGTATTAATAGCTATTGAAATTATTAACGATTATATGTAACAATTTAACAGACTACAGTGTCATTATTAACCATTATTGATAGTTCCAAACAATAAACACTTGTATTTCTTCGAAGTACTTTTCATCATGAAGTGAAGAAACATTAGAAATCATGGATAATTAGATGGCTTTCTCTCTCTTTCTCTCGTCTCAGATTACCTCACAATCCATACATAAAAATGTTCATGGAATAAAACGTATTTCGGATTCCAATCTATTGGAATGGCATTTTTTAAAATGTGGTTTTTATCCAGCTTTCCTCCCTTTCTTTTATTCAGTATGATCATTTCTTAGTATAATATTGTAGTGGATTAGCCTCGGGATAATTCTTTAGGCCTTGTATTTCAATCGCCCTGATAACCATTATTAAATAAATCCCAACGGTGTATAAGTTCAGAAGACAACATGAAGTACCGACCACAGTTTATTATTGAAAAGCATAGATCGATAACCCATGTCAAGCATATCAAGCAAATTTTAGCATAAATGCGAATGCGGGAGAGCGAGTGAATACAGAGGCGAATTCGTTGTCGAATCAACTAATAAGATTCAAGCACATACATATTTACGAGAAGGCGATGCCAAGCGAGGACTGTCGTTGAAAAAATGAGAAACGAAACAAGGGGGAGGAGGCAAGTAAGCCAACCCATTGGATTAAACATGATTCAATAGTCAGACAAAAATAAGTTACAGACACGTAATGGATAGGGTAAGCGCTTAACAGGCATACGGTCGTATAATAATAAGAGAATAATTCACAACGTCAAAATGTGACTCAACCCATGTGGATTAGACGTAGTACTAGATATTACAATGTTCAACTTATTATAATGTGATATATTGTCTAGTATAACATTCGTTTTATGTAGAATAGATGACATATGTCTGGCAATTGAATCCAGGGTTAGAGTTACGTCCTGGATTTAGTAGCTAAGTGGATAACGAATTGGCTTTTAAAGCGAATAGCATCAGGTTCGAGTCTTGGAGTAAAAGTCGGCTCTGGCATGTTGATTCATTCAGTTGGTGAGTTCTCAAGTTGGACAAAACAGGAATCCAGGATTCCACTGCTAACCATATTCCATTTATTTAATACACGAAATTCGTGTTTTGATTACCTGATATTCAACTTTTGGCTTACGTCTCTGAACCATACTTCACTTAACTTGCTTATAGTAACCTTATTCATTTCTCCATACACAAGGTGGTATGAGTCCAAATTTAATACAGATTACTAGTTCTGTTAACAAGATATACTTTATTTTTTTAGAAATATTTTTAATTTTGATATTTTTTGGTAAGCTTTAAAAAACTGTGAAACATTTTGACAATAAGTTTTAATCTATTTTGAAGTACTGTGGTTTAGTGCTAGTTAATGTTTAGAAGTAAGGCTTCCTTAAAATCTTGTGGAAACTAATGTTTCCTCAGAGATTTGTACATGCATTATCCACGGCTAAAGTTATGTAAGTTACCAGTGAGATTTTTGACATCTTGACTTCTATAATGGAATATGTGGATTAGCGGCTTTTTTTCAACAAAGCAGATACACTGTGTTAATGTATGTTAACTTGCATAAAACCTAGATCTAGATCTGTTTTTCGGTTTCTTACAGCCTTATAATATCAAATAAAGCGTACCATGGTACTGAATTATATATCTCAATGGTCATGGCGGTGGATCACTATCCCACACCCAACGTGGTTGGACTCCGCTAGTCACCGCAGACAATGGATGAGGGTTGCACAATATCATAAATTGATTGAATTTGGACACGGACACCGTCAGATACCTACCCAGTGGTCCAAAAGTTAGGAATTGGCATATGGAGTCAAAGGTCCTGGATGCAATTCTTAGACGTAGTGTCGTGAGTCTACACTAATTAGGAGTCTCACACTATGATGAAACCTCAATGCAGTGCTTACAATTTTTCAACAGTCGTTTATTTAAGATTAGTTCATGTTTAAGTTATAAGATCATTGTTTAACATTGTTAATTATTTGCATGTTAATGCATCTAATTATTTAATTCATTACCATTTTCTAAAAGCGGTTCATACATCTATCCAGTTGGTTCAGTAAAGTTAATTTCCAATAAAACAGGAATAGATGAACAAAATTCACCAGTTCATTCAATTGATGATAACATCGATCATATTATAACTAATTTTGATTTAAACGAAGAAGATAAAAGGAATGTAAATAATCAACCGAGTAATAGTATTATAGACAATGGTAAGTTATTTGTCTTATTACATTTTTGAGTTCTGTTGTTTATGTTCTATTTTAAAGTAGCATGTAAAAAGGTAAGATCAATAATTATCACCCCGTGACCATCATTTCCGTCTTTGAATCTCACGAGGCGGGATCGTGGATGCCCACTGGTGAGGAGTCCCACGATAGGACGAAACGGTCGTCCAGTGCTTCCAGGGTTTTCGTGGTGGTCTAGCTTCAATTGACTCGTGATCTCGAAAAAGTGAAGGTCATAAAGTACTCTATGATCCTAGCCTTGTTCACCTTTGGACAGATTTTAAACTTGCAATTTGACGGAGAGTAAAAATGATAATCACTATGAATAGTATGTTGAATTGAAAATGAAAATTTTTAAGTAACCATTAGTTTGTAATAAGTATATTTTTTTATATCTTAATGAGTAGGAAAATTGTATTTCTGACGTTTCGTGACTTGGTGTAAGTCACTTCTTGAGATTTATTTACTCTGAAGAGGTGGCCTACACTAAGTTACGAAACGTTATAAATGCAATTTTTCTACTCATTGGGATATAACAAAAATATATTTATTATTAACTTGTTACCAAATATTTAATTCATTTGAACCTATCAAATCCAAAATTGTTATTGATACCTATAAAATCATTAGTTTATGTTAATTTCTTTTATCCTTTGAAAACTATGAATCCGAGAATATGAGGATGTTATGGAATCTCGAACTTTAATAGATGATTTACACCTTTGTCTTATGACAAATATATTTCGTTTGTTTTTAGAAAACAAATTCTTCAGCTTTGAACTTCTTCCATCTACTTTCTTACCCGTTTAGTGTACTAATAAATGGAAATGTTGGAATCCTCTGGTCTCTAACCTTTATTGAACTTTGATTGATTAGTAGCATTTGTATTCACACTGTCGTGGAATTTGAAACGTGAATGATTTTTAGATTTCAAATTGAATGTATTGGTTTAGTGATGTTTTTTTTGTATGTTAAACAAGTAGAAGGAGGAGTAGGTTTAATTCCTAATGTTTTAACACATAAACTGTAGCTTGTATGATTCATCTCAATTACTTACTTACACATGTCACTCATCGCGAAGGAGCATAAGTCAATAATCAGTACTCTCCAATCAACTTTGTCCTGGGTATTCCTTTCCAGTTGTTTCCAGTTGCTATTCAATCTTTTCATATCTCTTTTCATTTCCCGACGTAGTGTATTCTTTAACCTTCCTCTTTTTCATTTCCCTTCAGGATTCCAAATTAAGGCTTACCTTGTGATTCAGTTTAATGATTTCTTTAATGTATGTCCTATTCACTTTCAAACGTAATACTTTTAATGGTAACAACCTACAAAACATTAAAATCAATTATGAATCGCATTATTTTCGAATGTTAGCTTTTTGTTCTATTATTATCATTATTTTATTTAGAAAATCAACAATTACTGAATGAAGTATTTGTATACAAACAATCTACTAAACGTGGTTTCATTTCTTATTCTATAATAAAATCTCTCATCAATAATCAAAATATAAATGAAACAATCCATATAGAAGAAGATGTTAAGACAATATCAATGATAGATGATCATGAATATTGTATTGATTTATCAAAGATTGAAAAATCAGTACATTTATTTGAAGAATTTACAAATTCACCATGCCTTAATCAACTACAATTTGGTGGTAAATAAAGTGATCTGTTTTATATTAAAGATAATAAATTTGATGGTATTATGTTTGTTTGTTTGTTTTTTTGTTGCTAAGATGATAAAACACTACTGATTTGCTTGATAATGGAAGAACTTTGATTAAAGATAAACTTTTCATTATTTTTATTAGTAATATATACTGGTAAGTGTAAGATATAGACCACAAGGAACAACATTTCAAAAGGAGGAAATTAGATTAACAATTTAGAAGATAATTTCAATAGTTGAAATAATCAGTCAATTGAAGCTAGACAAAAACCTGGAAACACTCAACGCCCGTTTCGTTCTAGTATGGGACTCCTCAGCAGTGCACATCCACGACCCCACCTTGCTTGATTCGAACCTAGGACCTATCGGTTTTCCTCTCGAACGCTTGACCTCTAGACCACTGAGACGGCATCTAACGGTGTTAATGTCTAACTTCAAATTATCCATGAAATTTAGCGACACATCCACTATCGTCATCAGTGAGTCACTATCTGACAACAGACCCGGCTGAACTACTGAGGAGTCCCACAATAGGATGAAATGACTGTCCAGTGCTTCCAGGTTTTCCATGGTGGTCTAACTTCAATTGACTCATGATCTAAACCATTAAAATTAAAAAGATTGTAAAGAAAACTTAAACAACTTCAACTGACTTTATGTATTCGTTCAAATAATGCAAAAATATCACACCGAAAAAACAATTAGCGTAAATTTGCTTTTAGTATAAATACATCTATAACTAATTTATCATTCATTGTCATCACTAGCTATGTGAATAGAAATATATTCATTTGAATGAATCTTCCTATTTATCGTTCTCATACAGAACAATGTCTAACCTGTTAATCAATAATCATTTATTCTAAGATCTTCAGATAGTCAATGTCACCATTCTCTATTTGGATGTGTTAAAGGATCAGTCGGAATCATTGTGTTTAAAATAAATTTATAGTAGATATTTCATTTGTAAGGAAACATGCTTTTTAATCTGTTCATTTTAAATAATTCGATTTCTATGAACCGTCTAAAGCATGAAAGTTTGATGGATAGAGATTTCTGCTTGTTAGTCCATTAGTACAATTGTTTGATGATATAATTATGTTACATACAAAATGAGATTGTAAATTATTTCCTTCATTGATTTTTGGACAAAGATAACAGATTCTACTGGATGATAGGCAATCATCGAAATTCCCGAGGCCTAGATTTCGTGCTAGATGGTACTTATTAGTAAGATAGTGTCTACCATATGAATAATTATGAAACTTTCCTATCGTGAAATGCCATCATAGTTCATATCAAGTAAAGCCCAGTGATAAGTTGTTAACACTGCCTCAATATTTTTCATCACAAATTTATTGTTTACAGTAAACTCACTAAAGACAATGGTGGATGTGTCGTCTAATTTCGTGGATTAGTTGAAGTTAGACATTCAAACTGATGGATGCTTTCTCAGTGGTTCGGAGGTTAAGCGCCCGCTCGCGAGACTGATGGGTCCTGTGTTCGAATCTCACAAAGCGGGGTCTTGGAAGCGCACCGCTGAGGAGTCCTATACTAGGACGAAACGGGCGTTGAGTGTTTCAAGGTTTTCATGGTAGCCTAGCTTCAATTGACTCATAATTTTAATTGTTAATTTTGTAAAATGATATTTTTCCATATTTTATCAGCTTGATTTGATCAGAAGTTATCAGTATGGAATAATATATTTCTACTGCCAATTAGATTCATTCACATATGCCCTCTAAAAATAGTTCGTCTTAGTGTTAACTGACCTAATTGCAGTAGTTTTTTATTACATTCTCTCTTGATTATGAAGAGTAATTAAATAGTTATTATTAAATCAATGTTAAACGAAGGTTTTAATAGTTCCGTTGTTGCCGTTATACCAGACTAGATCGATAGAATTTGATTAGCATTGATTACAACAAATTATTACAACACTTTATTGTGAATTGATAAATTAATCTGTACATTATTCTACTGGACAATTAATGAGTCTCAGGTTCTCTTCTCAATGAACTCTTGGGCGCACATCGTTAAGGAGTCTCATACTAGGAAGAAACAGATGTTTATTGCTTCCTGGTTTTCACTGGTTACCTATCCATAATTAGTCCTTGATATAAATCATAAAATTCATTATGTATTGTAATCTGTTGATTGCTTCTTTTGTGAAAATAATATTTTTCTGTGTTAATGAATTGCATGCTGAGTTTTACTCAGTTTTATTACTCACTTCATATCTTGAATTGTATGACCTATTTGTTTTTTCTACTCGTCTAGAACAATTTATTCTAGTCGTTGAAGATATAACACCACGGAATGAAGAGGAGAATGAAGAATTTCACGTGGATACGATTCCAGATTATATTTTGAGAACACCAGAACGTCTTTCGCCGTTATTTATCAAGTTATGTTACATTTCAAGGGAATAATATATTAAATGATTTTAAAATTTAGGAAAACGTATAAAATTCTATTACAATATACATGTTTGTTGTTATTCTATCTTACATTTTGAAATGAACGTTTGACAAAAGCGAATTTTGAGTATACAGAATGTGGCTAACAATGGAATCCAGGATGCGCACCTCGTTTTGTTTCGGACAAGTTAGTTGATTTTCACCTCAGGATTCGAGTTCATTATCTTTCGCTCTAAACCCCAGCGTGTTGTCGGCTTAATTACTTAGTCTTAATAGCCATTCACTTGTCCAACGGATATGAATTTGACTTTAATTTGTAACGGTTTAATTTATCCCTACGTTGACATTTGAAGCAATTAGGATTGATCAAATTTCAGTTAAAGTATCAACAACGAGGTAAGCCAATGCACTACGAATTCAAGGTAAACTTGCTTCATCTTCCAATTATGACATGAATAGTTAGGTTGAAAGTTAACTAATATCAATAATTTTGTAACATAATTTCGTTGACAATAATCTTACGCATAAATAGTTTGAAGATGTTTAACATGCATTAAAATACTGATCATCCACTCCCCCAAAATAAAAAAGTGAATTCCTCGTAAGATGTGGTTCATATTTTACCATTAGTCCACTTCATAAAGTAACAGAATATTGTTTTGAAGCACACATGGGCATGTGAAGTTTTTAGCTAAAATTTCAAACGTAATAGAAATAATCGGTTCAAGATCATGATGTAATCTGACTTGAAAGTGATTTTAATGTCTCACTGTTTATTCTTCTTTCAATCTGTAATATTTGTGCGACTATCTTATCCACTCAATTTATAATAAAACTAAACAATAAACACACTGACAATCTTGCAGCAATACGAGACTGTGAAACCGTTATTCCGGTTAAAGAAAGTTTAGTGGCCCGTTATTTTGACGCCAGTTAAATCGGATTTTGATGCCAGCAGGTTCATCACTTTAGTGGCCCAAAATGTGGCTGCAATTTGATCGTGTAACTATCTTTATCGAATTAAATATATCGCCAATCCTCGTAAATAATCATCGACTTAAATTGCGCTAGTGAATAACGGAGTTAAATAAGTCAAATACGAGAATGAATTTCAAATACGCGTACTTCATACAATCGTCGATCCCGACAAACGAACAGAGAAACAAAACGAAGAGAAATGATGCACGGTGGAGAAGGAATGTAAGCCAACTTACTTTAATTAAGTGTTACTCAATATTTATAGTCAAATCGAATCGAGGCGAAGCGAATAAATAACAAGGTCAAAACGTAACTCAAGAAGAATGAATAAATTGGTCCGTTCGTAAGCTAGAATAAGTTATTTGGGCTTGATATAGTGCCAATCACCACAAAAGTATTTGACCTATTGTTAAAATTTAATTCTTATCTACGTAGTGAAGATATTTCAAACAGATATTATAACATTAAAATGTGTGAATAATTCATGAAGTCAATTTAGCTGTACCAAAAATATTTTGTTCTGTGGATTTTCTAAAACATTATTCATATAGATTGTTATAGCTTGAAGAGAATTATCACTGTTAACTAGCAAGCATATCAGGTAAGTGACTACTGAAAATCATCGAACACTATACTAACACACAAGTTGAAAACAAACACTTTAAACGCTCATCTTATACATAATATTAGTTAAAAATAAAGCAAAATGTTCAATACTTCAAGTATCTCATTACTAGTCAGTCCATTCGAACGCTCAACCATATAATTCAATGTTTTTGCTACTGACTTTATTTTTAAGTTGATTTACTTCACATTTTCCCATAAGAACTATGATAAGTTCAATTCATTTTGTATTGGTTGTTTGAATCTTCCCATTGATATTTAAGACTGCGTTTGATCAGTGGCTATCAGGACTCAGTAGCTAAGTGAATAACACGACGGCATTTGAAGTGAACGATACTAGGTTGGAATCCACGATTGAACATCAACTCTGGGATGAAGATACATCAAACTGACCAGTCTCAAATAGGATGAAACGCGTGTCTTAGATTCTACAGCTAGCCACCATCCATATTTGCTTATAGTGTTTTTGACTTAAGGCAATATCAGGGCAATCCTCACAGGATGCACATATGCCAATTACAGACTAATCAATTGCAATTCTAAACATCAGTGTGAAGATTCGAACAAGCAATTCAAAATGAAGTAAAACTTCGCTACATTACACAAGCTAGTTGCTATGTGGATTCAGTAGCTAACTAGATAACGTGATGGCATTAGAAGCAAGCAGTATTTTATTCGAGTGCTTGAGCGAATATTAACTCTGAGATACAGGTACATCCAACCGACAAGTCCCAAGTGGGATGAAATGTGCATCCTTGATTCCACTTTTAGCCACTATCCTCCTTTGTTTAGATAGATAAGTTCATCCTGAAGTAGATTGAATACTTGAATTATGATTGTTATTTACTAAAGTGAATTGTGAAACCGATTCATAGTAACAAACTAATTTTAAAGTTAATAAATAATTTTGTGAATATGATTATACAACATGAATAAACTTTTTTTAAGAATTCTCATCATATTTTATATCTTCCAAATAACATTGTTAATTAAATTGAACAATAAACACGTTCAGTTTTACTTATTCTATTATCTGATTTAAATAATTTACATTCATTCTGATATTTTCACATTATATAATTGTTATCAGAAGAGGTTTTTATGGAGATTTTAGTAGTTTTAATAGTTGAATCCATGAGCCAATTACACCTAGACCACCATGGAAAACTTAGAGGCACTGGAAAACCGTTTCGTTTCGGTGTGGGACTCCTCATCTACGACCCCACCCCACAGAATTGGTCGAAGTAAGACAATAACACTGTTGGATACCGGCCCAGTGATCTAGAGATTACGAGTTCGCGCGCGAGACCGATAGGTCCTGGGTTTGAATCCTGAAGGAGCGGGATCGTCAGTCAGCTACAACGTAGGACCAGGCACATATATGCATCGGTCCAAGTTGCCATACCTCATTAGCACAGCAAGATGAACACCCAATTCATAGAAGTAGTTAACTCAGTGGTGGTAACATATAAAAGAAAGATTGCATATAAGTACATAGTACAGGAAGAAAGAATCATTACGTAGAAAGAAAGATATAAAGAAATTTTAATATCATGTTTTAAGGGAAGATAAATAGTGTATACACCTATACCGTTGTGATCGATTCTGAGCGATGTCACACACAGTCTCCAACGATTGGTTACGATAGTCACGTTGACCTCAACCAAGTAGTCTGCATCTACCAACATGGCTCAGACTAGAAGTTAGTGACTTCAAGCACTGATGCCACGTTTTGTTTTGGCCGCCACTAACTTTCTTCAAACCATCCCCAATACCGGTTAGCACTATACGTCGTGATAATCGCTGTTCAGGCATACGTGGTCCAACCATCTCAGTCGATGAAGATTCACAACCTCATCAACTGATTTACCATCATTCCCTAATACCCTGCGTCTAACCTCACTATTACTTACCCCTCGGTGATCCCAGCAGATGCGAGCAATATTTCTGAGATATCTGTGATCAAATACTAGTAACTTACGAGCATCTTCCCACGCTTCGCAGCCGTGTAAGTACAACAGCACAAACTATCGCACATTATACTCGTCCCTTAATTGATAGACAGATATATCACCTTAGCCATAGGTGATGTAAGTTGACAAAAGTCAAACGAACTTTCTGAATCAGGATCATAAGCTGTTGCATTCTAGGACAAAAACGGCCGTACATTATTTCCACGGTAGTTTAACTTTAATTGACTCATGAATTCAACTATTATATAATTGTTTTAATTTTCTATTAATTTTATCAATCATTTAAGCCAAATAAAAATGTACATAAACTGTAAAATATACTTTATTTATTCAAACAGAACAATTTAATATAATGTATATAATAAACATTTTGCTGGGAGGTGGGGGTGGAGGTGGAAAGAAATAAAAGTTCCCATTATTCACAACGGAAATTTATAAAGTTATTTATTATTGATAAGATTAAATGTAAAAAATAATAAATCAATATAGAAATTCTTTTTTATTTCTTTTTTTAAAAAGAAAATTAAATCGATAATCTGTATTTGATAAATTAAAGAAAAAACTTTTTTTCTTTTTTATATCTTCCTCATCAGTTGTTCATATCTATTCAAAACCTGATGGATTATTTACAGATGACAATTGTGATTCATTTTTATTCAAGCTGAAATAAACAAACAGAAACAAAAAGAGAACAGAATTTAAAGTGAATGACAACAACAACAACAAGTTGAATAGTAAATAGTGAATGAAGAAAAAAGCATTTTACATGTTTATATTCTTTGTTTATTATTCGGCGATCTGTTTGAATGTCTGAGTTATCTGTTTCTTGCTATTTAGATATATTGAGAGATTATCTGTTTTTTTCTTGTTTGTTTTATTACATCATTATGTCTATTAGTCGCATATAACTAATCGAGTGTGTTTGTGAAAAGTGTACAACATTTCACTATAAAAGTTAGTAAAGAGCACAATCAGAGACATCATAGTTGCTGGTATTATACATCAAAAAGAATGTACATTATTGAAATGTCGATTGACTGGAATGCTAACACTTAACTGGTAGCCACTCAATATTTATCACATGGGTCGATCAAGAAGTGAGAAACGGAAACTTGCTGAAATATTTTGTACTGAGAATTCTATATTGTACCAAAAACATAATACTGAATGAAACCATTATTATTAATAATAATTTTAGTGGCCCAAAATCTCACTCCACTAATATCGTATGATTGTTATTGAAATATACATATCGTTAATCCTCGTATGCAACTATCAACTTAAATCGCATTAGTGGATAATGGAACTAAATAAGCATAATACGAGAATTGATTTTGAATATATATATTGCACAATCGTTGGTCGGAAAGAGCAGTAGAACTAAATGACGCAAAAGAAAGAAGGCGAGTGAGCCAACTTGATTTAATCAAGCGTTAATCGATATTTGTAGTCAAACAAAAGTAAGCTACAGACATGTGATGAGTAAGACAAGAAATATATACACATATGCTCATATAAAAACAATCCGGGTTGACAAGCGAATAATTAACAAGGTCAAAATGTGACTCCAGAAGAATGAATAAATTGGCCTGTTCGGAAGCTAGAATAAACTATGTGGGCTTAGCATAGAAACCGACACTACACCATTGTACCATGTGATTAGGTCACTCTAAACTCCAGTGGGTTTGCTCTTAAATTTTATTGAGGGAATCATATCAAATATCTATCTGATGAATAAATTTACTATGTGTATTTCAAAGTTTACGTAAAGGCAGTTAATTATCAGTAATAATGTTGACATGTGCATTGAGAAAGACTTGACACATGAAATTGACCACCACTCAGTGACCAATCAATTGTACATACATCTCAGTCCTACAAGGGGTCGGTCGTGGCCCGGATAGCCCAGTGATAACTCTTCTGAATATCAAGCTGGATGTCGCGGAATTGAATCCGTTAGGGAGTACCAATTTCCTTAAAATTACAGGTACACCTTGCTGACGAGTGCCAAGCAGCACGAAACCTAGGTTTAGTGTTTACTGTTGACTACCTCCAACCACTATTTTATTCTACAGTTAGGTTTTATATTTCCTGATAGATGTTATCTATCAATAAAGACAATTATTGGGTACTAATAAATACAAAATCTAGATGAATAACTTCTTACAGATTCATCCAAGTTGTTTTACAGTCGAATTTAATTTACTGATATACTATGTCATCCAACTTAGTGGTTGTTTTGCCCTCATTAGTTTAACAAAACTTGACTTGAGCTTAGTAGATAGTAAACTTGTATAAGGAAGGATCTTCAAAATCTATAAAAACCCCAGTATGTAATATTCAAGACTAATACTTTAGCATAATTAATTATTGTTTTGAATTTTCTAAACTATATTTAAATAGTTTGGGATTTTGTTTTTCAAATGTCATTCTTAATGAAACATTGAAATGTTGGCGTCAATGTCAATTTAATAATTGGTTACTCTCTTTTTATATTGTTTTATAATACAATTTAGTTCACCAATCATAAATTTCTTTCTTAAACGAACCTTGTCAATAGAATGTCTATTTTGAAAAAAATGTTACAATAGTGGAGAAGATTTGTAGCACAGATGGATGATTTTGATAGAGTTTTTTTCTTTGAGCTGGATGGTTTAGTCGTGGAGCTTCAGGTGATGAGATGTCGTTTAGAAGAACAATAAAAGCTCCACGACCAAGCCATCCATCTCAGAGAACAAAACTCCATCAAAAAGTTACAATCTTCTTATGTATAATAAAAATATTACCTCCTTTCATTTATATAACAAATTTTATTTGACAACCTAGAGTAATTAATTAAAAGATACATTTAATTTGTCATTAATAGTTTGTTTACTTTATGGGAATGATTGTTTAATGTTTCTCTTTGGTATGGTCAATTTTATAGACAAATTTAATAGACTTCCTTAAACACTATATCTACCAAAAATAATTATTCACTAGACTGGTGTTTCATTGTGAACAAAATAATAATAATAATAATAATAGTAATAGTGTGGTGTGCTACGTATATGATGTTAGTCGTGAACAGAAGGTCTAGCAGCAGATAGACAAGAGGATCGAACAGTAAAGAATGGAAACAGAATGGAATTTGTATGAAAATGCAAGAACAATGAAGTCTGAGTCATTTTGAGACAATTGGTAGACATTTTGCAAATTAAACATTTACTTTATGATTGCTAGATTTTATTAACAAGTCCTGTAATTTTTTGTTAAACACATTCGGTTGTCCCCACTGGTGTTCTTGTTCACTACAATAGTAATAATAGTAAAAGGAGATTTTAGTATGGTTAAGAAAACATAGCAATAATCCCTGGTTATTCAAATGTCTTAGGATATAAATATTAATGATTATCCAGTCAAAAAAATTATGAATGTAAATCAAATAACTTTGCTACTGACACTTCTTAACGTAACGTTGGTTAAGTACTAACCTACCAATAGTGTAGCGGCTTTTCCGTAATAAAAACTAGAAAAAAAAGCACTACTCCTGTTAGACAAACGAATCCACATATCCGACATCCGATTTCAGTCAGTTACTGATATTGTACTAGTTCATTTGTTCGATACTTTTCAGTAAGATAAAGTAAAAAAGAAAATAACTTTGAATATCAGACATGAATTATCTAAACCAGTCGTAAGTAACTGTAGTTAAGAGTGAGTTGTCAATTAATTTGTCTTCTTAATAAATGAAAACAGAACATTTGATTCATTATTTTTTCTTAATACCGAAATAAATAATAAAATATTTTCTTCTATACAAACACGGAAATTCAGTGATTCATATACTGATATAGTAATAATAATGACAACATTCTAAGTGATTCAGCTGTGACGTGAAACACTACTACAACCGTCATCAAGAAGGTACAAGTATGTGTAAATAGTTGTCTACGTAAGATACTCAACATCCATTGGCAGGATACCATCAGCAAGAGCATTCTGTGGGAGATGAAAAACCAGCTTTCAGCTGGAAAGGAAGTGAAAAAAAGACATGTTGGAAGTGGATAGGATATATATTGAAGAAATCACCAAACTGCATCACGAGACAAGTCCTAACTTGGAATCCTGAAGAGGAACGGAAAAGAGAAAGGTCGAAGAACACACTGCGTCGGGAATTGGCAGCAGACATCAGAAGATTGAATAGCAATTGGAAAAAACTGGTAAGGACCGCTCAGGACAGGGTTGGATGAAGAGTGCTGTTAGGTGGCCCATGCTCCTCCACGAGGAGTAACAGGCGTAAGTAAGTAAGCATACATATACATAAAATTTTATTCAATAATAAGATGACGACTTATGACTATTATCAACTTCATTTAAATTGTTGAAAATTAATGAATAATTTATTTAATACGATGATATTATTATTTGATAACGTTAATGAGAATAGATTGACCTTGGGAGAATCAGGGTTTAGTTTGTTATTCAAATAACTTCAAACTCAAATGAGTAGTTATTCAGTCAAAAAAACGCATGTTAATGAGATGGTGGAGATTTGTAGCTCAGGTGGATGATTTTTGTGAAGTTTTGTTCTCTGAGCTGAATGGTTTAATCGTGGAGCTTTCATCGTTCTTCTGGTTGACATCATCGGCACAAACTTCAGATAGAAGTGAAGCGTTTCAAGTAGTTCCTCGGCTTTTGATGTATTCTTCTTTGTCCATAATCACTGTGGTGCGTCCTTAGTCTGCTGGAACGATGACAATATCTTTTCTAGTTCTGAGTTCCTGTAAAGCTTTTTGTTCTTGTGAGGTTAGCTTGGTGTTGTCCTTCAGCTGCTGAGTTAGCGCCTCACTTCTATCTGAAGTTTGTGCTGATGATGTCGTTCAGAAGAACGATGAAAGCTCCACGACCAAACTAACTAGCTCAGAGAACAAAACTTCATGAAAAACACATGTTAATCAATATCGTAAAGAATTTTAAACTTTTAATGAATGAATAACTGAAATGTCATAGGCTATATTTAAGTTGATAAGTTAAAAAATAATAATAAATCAGAAGTAGTCACTATGGGACATAGTTTACAAACAAAAATATTTTACAATTTTGGATAGTATGATCTTATTCCTATCATTCTTTAAACACTTTTTCGTTGTTGAACGTTTTCAGGTCAACGAAGTGTTGCATTTTCTGAAGTCAGGGTTCCTGTCTATTTTTCTGTTAACTTTAGAATTTGAAATTAGCTTTCAAAGGGGTAAATATTTTAAAGAAATTTACTGGAATTTTTAAAGCACCATACAAATTAATCTCCGTTTATACAATGACTAATCATGACCACTCAACTTTGTTTCAAACTACCAATTAAATGATTCCGTTAAACTTGATCAGTGATGATATTTTTGAAATAGTTTTGATCTAAGTGCATTGTGAAGGTGATATCCTATGATGTGAAGAAATATTTCTGATCTGGATCATATAGATTATTTCTTTGAAAAGTATCAGAAAAACAAAGGATTTTCAAATAGCTTTATATAATCAGGTGAATGGAATTCATAAGTAAAGGAAATTCAAACTAATTTATAGGATTAAACGAAATCTACATCTACTCTGTTGCTTAAAGATAAATCACTAGGACAAGCGGAAAAATTGCTTATTCTGATGTGTGTGAAGTTGCTTTTAGTCTTTCAAAAAGGACTGCAATTTACATACTAAAATGCAGAACAACATATACCAACCTGGGACCTCTTTTTTACTACTATGAAGCTAGTTTGTACGTTAATAGTAAAGTTGACAAGATATTAGTGTAAAATCTTCCCCAAGGCTGACACTGACTAACTGCGTAGTTATCGCTATTTTGCTGTATTAATAGCTCCATTTGGTGGTCAGATCATGTAATAAATATCTAGTATCCTAAGTTTAAAATGAAAAAAAGGACTAATTTATGTATAATAATATAGTTTGAAAGCGTATTAATTTTCTTACAAAATGTCTACTCACTTATTTTCAGAACATATTTCTACATGTTGAAATGGTTCTTCATCAGATCCTTCATATGCATATTCTAAGGGCGATTCATTATTTTTACAATTATCTTCATTATTATTATCATCATTTTCAGCGGCTTCTAAACGGGACTTGAGTAAATCACCAATATCTGTTCTACTTGTTGATGGCTCATCCATTTTTAATTGCATCTCTTCATGAATACATTGTAATGGTTCTTCTTTTACATGCATACCTGTAAATGAGGTTTTTCCAATCAAAAAGATTGTAAAATGATGATCTTTTTCAGTAATTATCTCTTGAAACTAATACCAATCTATACCGTGAGTTGTAAATGTCTAAATTTTAACTACACAAAACAATAATAACAATTGCCGTTTATAAAAAATTAATTCTTATTCTCTTTATCGTTGTATTGTAAGATGAGTTTACCATAACAAAAAGAGATGATTATCTTATTCTCTGTTTGAGAATTAATAAATTCAGTAGTAACGAAATATCGGTATAGGATTGTGGAGATTATTAAGTTTTTGATTGAGATCATGAACCGATTAATGTTAGACCACCACAACCTTATACTGATAAATACAATCTACTTATTAGTGACTAGCTTTGTGAGAGAATTCTTGGAATTCTAGGAAGAAGCCGTGACAAGTGAAGCTAATCCACGTCAGGTAGAGGCAGGCATAATGGAAGATGGACGCGCAATTACGTAGATTGGTTAAGGTTAGACATTAACATCGTTGGATGCCGGCTAAGTAGTCTAGTAGCTTAAGCGTTCGCGCGACTGAGGGCCCTCGGTCCTAGTCGTTTGGGTGCGGGATCGTGGATGCCCACTGCTGAGAAGTCTCATAATAAGACGAAACGGCCGTTCAGTGCTTTCAGATTTTCAATGATGATCTAACATCAATCTGTTCATGATCTCAATCAAATAAAAAAATAATTTGTCTGATAGTTTGTAGTCGATATATCTAAAGCTTATTGTAGAGACCAATGATTTTGAGATTGTGAAGAAGATTTGTAGCTCAGGTGGATGATTTTGATGACTTCTACCTGAAGTTTGTGCTGATGATGTCAACCAGAAGAACGATGAGATCTGCACGATCAAACCATCAAGCTCAGACAACAAAACTCCATCAAAACCAATGTTTTTAAAAGCAATATCTCGGTGATAACAAAATCAAAGAATATTTTTACTCTACAAGAATATATAAACTTGTGATGTTTTAATATGAACAAACTTCACTATCAAAATTATTATGTTAGAATCAACTTTTCAATGAATTGAACACAACAATGACTTTGTATTAGTGAAAATTAAAGTCTAGACAACCTTGAATTTAAAGTTGTTTTTTCTCTTTTCTTTCAATTAGTCGTTAGAAAACGATAGTTATTATTATTATTTCACATACCTGAACACTATATGGATCATTTAACTGAAGCGGATGCTAACAATTATGTAATATTTTATTGAAAACTCATTCATCCTATTAAACTTATTCATATAGGATGATATATGTTTAAAATGAGAAAATTTCACCAATATAACAACCCGTTGTACACCGTCGTATTGAAAATCTCAGATTATTGATTTATTGCACACTAACGGAGGTAAAATAGTTCTTTAATACCGAGAAATGTCATCTGTTAGATGGTAGCGTTCGCGGGAGATCGATGGTCCTAGGTTCGAATCCCACGTGTGGGATCGTAGGTATGCACTATTGTCCATCCCGTTCTTCCACGTTTTCAATGTTGGTTTAACATTGATTAGTTCACAAGTTCAATGAAATTTAATCATGTCTATAACTTTGAACAGAGAAAATAGCTTTAAGCGTTTGCTTCATTTTTTTTACTTACTTTCATTAGCTTCGCTTCGAGGTTCTTTATTTATGACAGTCTTATCTAAATGTTATTCTATTGAAAAAAATATTCTGCTCTAACTTGAATTTATCTCATCTCATATGGTTTAGCAAAAGTGAAAAATTTGTTATGGATTGAACAGAAAGGTATTCTTGAGAAATTATAATCCATGGATTCAGATTTCTAGTAATGAAGTAGCCAATCTAAGTTATTTTTTTTGTAACCTTCAAGTATGCATGTACTAATTTCGGTGATAATAATTAAACTGATGAAGTTTTGTTGTTACTCTGAACAACGATATTAACGATGTTTGATTATGTTTCCTTGAAAAAGCTTAGGCCAGTTTTCCAGGCAAAACGTTGGATCTACTTCAAATTCATTTGCTGAGATTTTACAAATACATTCTTCCTCTTTAATGTCTCACATTGACTCAGCGCCCAAATACTCTGAAACTATTTGACCAAATTTAAACGAAGGTTCTTATCTGACGATATCAACGTAGAAATTATTCTGTTCGGTTATTCGAGTTCGTTCTGATTGCCTTGTTTGTGATTAGTTGTCTTTGAAAGTTTCTTCATCTCCATTTGTTCTTGTATTCCTGTTGACCATCTTTTTCCGTTGACTTCTGGACATTCATTTGATTTGCCTGATCCTTATCTTGTTTATAGATTAAATCTATCTCTATTTAATTTGAATACTATTTCTCTAGAATTTCTCTAGCTTTATTAAAATTTAACCAATTTGAACTGTGATATTTTTTCAGTCGAATTCATGCAGATGGTTGTTCATGTACATTGATATCAGTGGTAACATATAATGTCGCTTTTCTGGTAGTCTATTTTCATATATAGGTAGGTATAAAGTGTGGTGCTTAGTTTGGTGTGAAGTATTATGAAGTTTAATTTTATTGATAGTCAATACTGTTGTGTCGTTCATATGATTTAAAACGGAGAGAAAATTACTTTCAAATAGTTTCAATATCTTTATGATGCTTTTTTAAGGTATTTTATACCTATTGTAGATGAATCATCTACTCATTAACGAAAAGAAACAATAAAAGCTTAGCAATCAAACTTGCTAGTTCATAGAACACAATATCGCCAATGATATCTATCTGATTTCCATATCGTCTACATATATCAGTATGCTTACAGTATTTATCGATTTTGAAAATGTATGTTCAATTTAATTTTTCAATATTATAGATCAGAAACAGGTAGTATTCACTAATCTTAGAATTCAGCACTGAATGTTTATTAACATTGAATTATTATTCTTTTCAGTTCTAACTGGATAGCGTTACTGATCGCAGTCGGCCTTGTGTCTGTAATGAATCTTTCAAATGTCTGCCCCATCAGTTTGTTGGTAGGTGATTTCCTCACCGAGATAGTAACGGGTAACGGGGAATCAGAGTTCGATTCCGGTGATTGTTCATTGATTTTTTACGATCAGGACGTGTTCAGCTCGGTTCACTGGCTGCGCAACCTTTCGTTCGTATCTGTGTTAAACAGGTGTTGGTAGCTTGACGAGTTTGTCTTATTCACCTATCTATATGATTCCGGATGCCTTAAAACAGATGTCGGGAGCGGACAGTATGTTTACTTTGAACAAATTCGAGTGCCAAAAGCAGGACTTTGCGCCAGAAAATTCTAACATGGAATAATGACATAGGACTTCAGTTCTATTTTGTTTGTTTTCAGGTCCGAGGTAATGGTTAAAATGGACAGACAAGGGCATTTTGTAAGGTGATGTTAGAGATGAAATTCTAGGATCGCTGTCAGATAAACTACAGCGAAACCATTTGCCAAAAATGTTTTCATTGAACAGGAGCTAAAGTCAGAGTTTTGAAGATGATCAGATAACGTTAGTGTTAATCTCCAACTATTCTAATATGAAATATCAATACATTTATAAATGTATTAATTATTAAAAAAACTACTGATTATCAACAAAATTAGTAGTAAAATAAAATATGTACTTATGATTTTTAGAAAAAAGAGAAAAAAGAAAACGTTTCATCTTTCATCATAAAAATTAAAATTGTAAAATTCTAGAATATTTTCGGCAATTCAATTGTATACTTAAATCATATGAATTATTCTTCTATTATTTACATGTTAATTACGTTATATTGAGTTGTCATTATATTTATGATGAAAGGGGTATAATAAAATGTCATGTGAAATGTATGAGAATAGTTTGTTTTTGTTAGAATAGTAATAAATGTATTGAATTTGTTTTTCAACTGACGTTTTAACTTTAGTTACCGTCTTAACTGAATTTTAGTGATTTGATTTTTTTTTCTTGTTTGACAGTTAAAAGTTTCTTTAGTTGAAAGATTTCTATTATATGATTGAAATTCTTCAGTTAATAATGATAGAAGTGTATAAAATACTGTAGATATACAATTTGCTAATAATATATTCCAATAGTTGAATTCATGAGTCAACTGGAGCTGGGCCAGCATGGAGAACCTGGAAGCAGTGGACGACCGTCAGGTCCTAGTATGGGACTCCTCACAGTGTGCATCCACGATCCTGCCCCCCACGAGATTCCAACTCAGGACCTATCAGTCTCGTGTGCGAGCGCTTAACAGTTAAACCACTGAGCCGGTATCCAACCGTGTTACTGTATAACTTCAACCAATCCACTAAAATTGCGCCATCGTGGATGCGCATGTCTTAGGAGTCCCATACTAGAACGAAACGGTCTTCCAGTACTTTCAGGTTTTCATGGTTTTCTAGCTTCAGCTGACTCATGATTTTAACTATTGAAATTTCCAAAAACTCCACAAAACCCCTTCTGATGATAATAATAGATTCCTTCAATCAGAAAAACAATCATGGACCGATCGAAGTTAGACAACGATTACGGACGTAGAAATAATGAACAGTTGATTTGTACTAATATGAAACTCTTTAGAATTTCATACACAGTTAGTGGAACCAGAACTTGTGATCACGCGAGTGAACGTTCAACCTTTAGACCATTGAACTGAAATCTAATTATGTACAAGTTTTACTTCAATTAATCCATGACATTGAGTGACAAACTTCGTTTCATGATTTTAATATATCTTAATGATCTCCACAACTTCATATAGATAAGTATTCATACTTTTTAGAATGTTGGTTTTATGAAAACATGACTGGTTTACAGCGATGGGTAATCAACCAACTGTTAATAGCTAAGCTTTAAAGGACATCGGTTCGTAGCATTTCAAAAAGCTGATTCGGAAAGTCACAGTTGTATAGCTGTGTTTGAGTTCACAGGGTAGCATCAGTTCTATCATCATTACAGATACACCTTGCTGACTAGTGCCAACTAGCGGGGAACATAAGTCTGGGGTTAGAAGTTCACTACCTCCAACCATTTGACGTCTTATATATATAAAAAATTTATAAGAATAAAATTATCAATATTCTAACTGTCACATTACATAATCAAGCAACAAATACCCAATAAAAATCCCATCTTACAATATAAAAATGCCATTAATAAATGTAACTTACTATGTGGACTAGCTGGATAAAAATGTGAATCGATTGGAGGCAATTGTGGAAAAGTTTGAGAATGTTTACTTTGGCCACAAAGGATGTGATGTGACACTAAACAGAGGATGACTGTAAGTTTTAAGAAATGAAATTTATGGAAACACTTGAATAAATGACTTATTGATATCGCGCTACATTGAATAAAAGTTTAACAAACGTGAAATTATATCATTTATGCTTTTGTGTTAATTGTTTGAATCTTCCCATTGATGTTTAGCACTGCAAGTGGGCAGCCTCTAATTGGCATCCTGTGTTGGTGCCTCGAGATTGCCTAAAGTTACAAGCTTTTCATAAAAAAGATGTATGGCGGCTGGGAGTGGGACCCAGGACTCGCGTTTCGTCCTACGTAGGACTGGTCAGCTGGATGTGCGTGCACTCCAGAAACGACTCATTATCGTTCACTTCAAGCGCCATCATGTTATTCACTTAGCTACTGAGTCTTGATAATCACTGATCAATTGTAGCCATAAACATCAATGGAAAGATTCAAACGACAAATACAAAAAGACGGGTTGAAACTTCACCCCGTTACATAAGCCAGTGGCTATGTGGACTCAGTAGCTTAGTGGATAACATGATGGCGTTTGGAGCGAACCGCAAATCCGGGGTTCAGACACATCTAACTGACGAGTCTCAAGTGGGACGAAATGTGCGTCCTTGATTCCATATCCAACCACTATACATCTTTGCTCATAAAATAATATTCTTCATGCAGCTTATCATGGTCGTTTACATAAAATAGATTTTTTACACAGTGAATCGGAACATTAATTCAAAATCTAAATACTGGAAGTTTTTAAGAGTATCTAGATTACGCTAGTAACAAGTGAAGTTAATTTTCAGATGTAAATGTTTTATTAGCATGGAAGATTCATGAAGATTGTAAAATTTTCACAGCTTTGATCATGAAATGATCTAAGGTAAACCATCGTTGAAAACGTAACACCATTGAAAAGCCATTTAGTACTAGTATGTGAATCCTCAATAGAGCATATTCACGACCCCGGCTCAGTAAATCAAGCCCATTACCTTCAATCTCGCATGCGAACCATTAATCGCTAGACCATTCAGGCAGTATACAATAGTGTTAATGTCCAACTTCAAACAATTCGCAACATTTTGCAACTCCTATCTCTTTCCTGTGGTGAATAACTCTTACACCCAACTTGGATTGAATTCTACTGGTCACAATATCTCTCTAGAATTCCAGAAGATGCATCGTGGAGTCTTTCTTTTAATTTATTATCAATAATGTAAAACGTCATTTTTAAGACAAAGTGATATGAACTGAGAGAAAAATCACTTAAAATCAGGGAACAATAAACAAATAATTCAGTCTAATTTGAGAATAATCATTTGTAAACATCAGTAAGTTTAGATCACTAGATCAGGATTTAGTCATTCATATATGTAAGCAAATTACAAAGTTATATTATCAGTGTAACATATTCTATTTAAGGTTAACTAATAATAATAATAAAATTATTAGTTATTCTTTTTCATAAAAATGTTGAATCTTCTTGACCTGATTTCAACCGAACGGAAGTAATTAATCTGTTTGTTTCAGCGTAATAATATTTATGAATTGAATGAGTAAACGCCTATGTTTCAGTCAGTCATTTACAACTGCCGAACAGTATACTTGTCCCTTAACTGATAGACGGATATCACGTCTTTGTTTAATCTTATTGATATGAAGTTTTTTTTATTTAGTTCCAATCATTAATGTAACTTAAAACTTTTATACATTTTCAACTGGGTAAGTACTAGGTAGTTGACTCGTTAGTCATAAATAAATAAGAAAGATTAGTTCAGCGAAGAGTTCTTTTTTCGATGAATTCATTTTAAAAGCTGTAAAATCGCAAATATATATACTTATTCTTACAGGATGATAATAATACTGATAATAAACTTCTCTTAGTCATGATGACAGTGAGTTAAAATAAACATAGGTATCAAAAACCTTTTTTTAAACAAGGAAAGCTCAATAATCGTTTGATTAGTAATGTCTTAAATATTCATCAAAAGATAGATAGGGAAATAATCATTGGAACAGGATGGCTCACCATGATAAGATAAAATGTTGAAATAGAGATTAAATGTAATTAGGAGGATCGTGGAAACAGAAATAAACCAGTTAGGGGAAGATGAAAGGTGAATCAGATGTTTGTAAAGGAAGAAGAGTATGAAGAAAGGAAGAAAAGGGAGAAAAAAACATAGGACATTAAGACCATGGTAGAAGAAGAGGTTGTACCAATCTTTTTTGCACACACAATTCTGTTTTTTCCAGATGTATGGCTATTGCTTAGACAATGAATAGAAGATACAATCTAATTGCCTTTGAAGACTCCTACTTATATTGTGGATGACTTTGAACGCAGAATCTGTCTTGATTGAGTGGTCTGTGTTCACAAAATGTCTCTTCCTCCTCTTCTTAGCCATGCCGGATAATGTTGTTGAGTTCTTTTGGATAAAGTATGCATTGAACGACTCATATACTTAGCTGCACATGAAAAGATAAATTGGTAAATGCACATTGAATTGGTCAGATGCGATAATTTATCTTTAAGCTATTAGTGAACAATGATCGGCTGGAGAATACTATTTGCAGCGTTGTTGCAAAGAATGATCTTTTTAAATAATCAGAAATTCTCCTCTTTAAGATGTTTGTGTCTCTGTCACACTTAAAGTCGATGTTCACGTATAATGTTTTCTTTTCTGCCAAAATTATTTTTCTTTCGGCGGTTTCGGTCTTATGTTCTTATGAATGAATATCGTAGGATACTCGTTTTTGATAAGTATCTCCTTTAAGAGGCCCTAATCTTCATCTATGACCTCGGGACTACAAATTCTTGGTACTCTTGTAGCGAGTGATATTATCAAGTTTCTTTTCCAACTGATGGGGACCCAGTTGTGAAAATGTGATATTTGGCCATTTCACATGGGTTTCCTATAGATAGATTTTGTTAGAGTTCCATCTTGTTTTCTTATCATTTCCACATCAAGAAAGTGAATATTTTGTTTGTTTTCAACTTCAACTGTGGATTTTATTGCTGGGTGACAATTAATGAATGTCTTTAGATGACCTAAGTCATATTTGTTGTCACGAATGATAAAGATATCATCTATGTACCTTTTATACAAGTGGAGGTTTCCCATAATTATCTTAAGTTGGTTGTTTTGTAAACCGGTCATGGAGCAATCTGCTAATAATAGACCAAGAGGAGATCCCATTGCTATTGCCATCTTTCTATCTATGAATTACGTCGTTGAATGTAAATTGTACAGACACTGAAAAACAAGTATATATATTTGCGACTGTACAGCTTTAAAAATGAATTAGCCAAAAAGAGAACTTTTCGCTGAACTAGTCTTTTTATTGATTGTCTTAATGGGTGTATTCCGTTTATAAATAAATCACTTACCATTTAAATGTTATTCGTTGATCTTTGGATAATACTTAATTAAAAAAATAATCAGTATACTTTTTTGGCTTAAAAGAGATTTATTCTCGGAATTTTCATATTTTGTATTGTTTAATTGTTTATCTTTAAACATTTAATCAGTCTTCAGTTGTGATAATATCATCGGCTACCCTTATTTATGAGAAGGCAACACCATTGTTATGCTGGTCGTCTGAAGGAAACACCTTACTGTCGTCACACTTCTGTACAGTCAGCCCTTGGAGGTTGGGTTTTCTGCTTTTAGTCTTACTGCTCTTTAACCGGCCTGTCTGGAATTGTAGGATCTTGAGGAACGATTGTTCAAGCCAGTAGAGCTTGACTGGTCTATTACGATAGACAAGCTTGACCACCACGTCAAGGTAGCAGCAACTGTCGAGGTTTTAAAAAATACATTCATTCATTGATTGAATGAATGAATCTTAAAATAGAATCGTTTTAAAATAGACATCCTAATGTTTAATTTAAAACCTCGATCAATGTTTAAACCAATTTTTGACCAAATATTACCGAAGTTTAAATTCACTTGGTATTGTGTACTTAGATTATTTTAATTAATGTTTAGTACCGCAGTCGATCAATCTGTTATTGGTATATGTACAATACACACAGTCTGCACACATACACATATAGGCTTTTGAAAGAAACGGTACTGAGTTCGAGTCCAGGAGTGGAAATCAACTTTGAGATGCAGGTACATCCAGCTGACGGGTCCAGAATACGTCGAAACACGCCTTCTAGATTCCACTGCTAACCACGATTCATCTTTGCTTATGATTACTGAATATTGTTTTTTAGATTTATCAAAAATAAGAACTTTGTCATTACTTGCGGCTATTTACGGCAAAATCAATCACTAAATCATAGGTGTTGTTAAATTGAAACCAATATTGATATTTTCGGTCACTTTAATAAAATATTATGTAATATTGAAATGAAATGTCATTATCCTACTATTTGGAAGATCTGGAATCATTCACTGATTTTAACATACAAAACTGTATATTTATTATACTATTGGTAATGGATTTTGAACCATATACGTGATGAACTTATTTAGAAACAAAACTGCAATGTCACTGAGTATATAATGGCAAGTCATCAAAATAATATTGACTATTTGGAGGATACAAATTACTTAATGAAATGATTGAATTTATTTGTTTATTAAGCATGAAAGAAACATAATAAAGCAATTTATCATCTAGGCTTTTCTACTTCCGTTAACTTGAGTCATCGCAAAAACAAAACAAAAAAACGGCATGTAATTACCGTTTTTTTCAATGGTTTTTAGTTCAATGAACTGAAATTAACTAATTTCAACTAGAAAATGGTTATTGACATCTCTACTGAAAATTGTATAATAAATGATAATAAAAGAGAATTATAAACAATTGATCGAGGATACATGTTAACTAGAAGTTTACAGAGCCCCCGAATGCCCTGGTACGGCCAAGAGCGATGAGAGTCCGTTCTCTCTCTCTAAATGCTCTCACATGGCCACGTGTATATAACCTCTGATAGGGAAGTCCTACTCACTGCCATCTCTCACCAGGGGTGTTGTTTACAAAATTGAGATGACGTAAACTGAATGTCCGGCGATTCAACCAAGTTGGTAGACAAAGAGAGTCCACCCAGGGGAGTTGGAGAACCCTGATTCCAAACCAATGGTGTACATGGGCTCCAGGATTCTAAAAGAACGAATGGGATATGAATCAATTATTTATCACCGGCTACCATGGGACCGCATCTCCTGACGTTGGTCCACTGCCTTGTGGATCAGACCTTCAGGTCAAACGCTCCGGGTATGGCCTCCTAAGAAAACCACCCGCTTCGGTTTAGGCACCCGGGTAGTATCACAGCCCTTATACGAATCAAATGAAATTTGTGTGGCGCATATGTATCTGGTGCCTCATCGTACCAATATCTATGTCTTCAAATAAATAAATAAGAACTTTACAGATAGTTTGATTAAACAGTATTTCTCGTCAGTGTCATTTTAAATAAATGATAATTCAATATATTTTTAATGTTTATGTAATAAACCATTCAATTTTCAACTTATAAATGAATAAATTCACTTGATATTGTTTTGCTTGAATTTCCCTATTGTTATTTAGGATTTCAATTGACCAGTCTCTTATTGGCATATGTACATACTGTGAGAATCGCCTTGAAATGGATATTGGTTAGCAATAGAATTCAGTACATGTATTTTATCTTATTTAAGACTCATCAACTAGATGTACCTACATCTTAGATTTAATATTCAAACTCAGTACCGTTCACTTCAAACATCATCATATTATCCATTTAACTATTCATTCCTCATAGTTACTTGTTTATAATATGATGTAAACTATAAATTCACTTGGTATAAATAAAATAGAACAATAAATTTAGATAGTATAATAATGAGAAGATTTTTCTTTACATAATACTCATCATTACAAAAAACGGAAAAAGAGTAAAGTAAACTTACAAAAGAGAAAAACAATTAATGCACATCCAAATGCAATTAATGGTGTTGCTATTTCACCAGCCATTCATTTAATTAATTATAATTGAATAATATAATTGATATTGTTAAATTCAATTATTTGAATTGAATAAATGAATTTATCTTTGACACTGTTTCATTTATTCACTATAGTAGGTTTAATACAATGGATAGTCTATATGTATGTATATAATTGTTTGTATTTAATTAGTATATTTCTTCTATGAATTTATATCTGACAATTAAGATTTGTACACAATTGTTTATTTATTTGAGTTATTGATTAATTAATTTATTTATTTATTTACATGATAAGGAACATATTAGTATTATAAACATTCATATTTATATATGGAATAGTAAATTTCAATGTTACATTATCATAGATACAATCATTGATTGTATGAATTGAAATTGATTGGTGTAAATGATAAGTAGCACATATGAATATATAAGTGAATTTTTCAAATAGTAACTATGACTGTGTAAAAAAAAATGAAGACAAACACATTTATAATTAATACTTTAATTTTTCTTTTTTTTTCTTTTTTTTCAATCAAAATGTAGGATACTTTTTAGTATCATTGTGAAAAACCATTTAATTTATAAATAGATTTAGTTAATGAAAACAATATAAAGCAACAACAAAAATAAAGAAACGGGGTGAGTCTGTTTAAATAGATCAATATTATTTTGGTTTCGTTTATGATTTTCATTGTCTAATCTATTGAGCTCATGTTTATCTATCAGTTTTTCATTTTATAATTAGATTATTGAGATAAGATGGTGGTTGGAGGTAGTCAACAGGAAACCTTGGACCCGGGTTTCGTGCTACTTGACACTCGTCAGTAAGGTGTACCTGTAATCTTGAGGGAACTGGTGCTCCCTGACGAGTTCGATCCCTTTTCACCTAACTTCACAATTAGAGACGTTGTCATTAAGCTATCCAGGCAATTTGGTCGATAGCATTAAGAAGAACTTGACACATATGAATCTGTTCACCACTCAGAGATCAATCAGTTGTAAAAATAGACTATTGTTTATTGTGTTTAAATTGATTATTGATCAATTATTCAATATATATTGATTTATTTTAAGAAATAATTAATGATTTAGTAATTGAATTCATGAGTTAATTGAAACTAGACAACCATTACAAACCTGAAAGTATTGGACGACTTTGTTATCCTAGTATCTTCAGCAATATGCATTCAAGGTACCCCCTGCGAGATTCGAACCCAGGACCTATTATTCTTGTGCGTGAGCAATTAACCCTGAGACCACTGCACTAGTATCCAGCATCCATTGTCTTAAGTGAGTTACTATCTCACAACAGACCTGGTTGAACTCCACTGATCATTGCTTATGACTAGTAATCCGGTAAATACCTCTTGAAGCCATTCACTAGTGAGCATACGATAATTATAATCAGAGAGAAGCTTTGTGGAGATTGTAGTAATTTAATAATTGAATTCATGAGTCCAGTGCTTCCAGGTTTTCCATGGTGATTTAGCTTCAATTGACTAGTGAATTCAATCATGAAATTACTATAAACTTCACAAAACCCCTCTCTGAAAACAATTAATGATTGCAAAAATTCATTATTAATTTACTACTAGAAAACACATTTTTAGTGTTTCTTTATAGAGTGTGGAAAGTGATATTTATTGTTTCAGAAATTCAACTGCAAACGATAACAAGAGCACTTAAATACTTCAGTTAGTCAACATTCTGGATATCATGATTCCACTATATTATTAATTATCTATAAAATATAAATTGTTATCAGGAGAGGGTTTTGTGGACAGTGATGAAATTTTGTGGATTGGTTGAAGTTAGACATTTTAACACCGTTGAATGGCAACTTATTGGTTTAAAGGTTAAGGATTCACGCACGCGAGACCGATATGTTCTGAGTTTGAATCCCGTTCACTACTTCTTGGTTTACAGTGGTTGTCTAGCGAATATCAGTTCGTTATTCAAGCTATGAAAATTCTGCCATCTCTGCAAATCCATTGTTTTAACCTTAAATATTTTCCATCCAGGAAATATTAGTATATAAATTTGTCGATACTTTATTACTTGGAATTTAAAGTATCATATATGATTTAGGTCTAAACGTCAGTAAAATGTTATTTGTACAAAAATTAGCTTCGTTTGTTAAGCCTAAGTAGGTAAGTAAATAAGTAGATAGTGTTGTCAAAGTAAAAAATTCATACAAAATGGTGGGTGATTAGTTAAGCTGGGCATACAATTGCGCCGTAAACTATCTCAAATGCAATCATTGTGAATGATGGAGTATATCAGGGATGTTTTGTTCCGTATTACTAGAAATTTACGTTCTGTAATAGTTTACATGATGGTAGACATAAAATAATATTTTCTGTCGTTAGCGGTTTGCAATAGTATAGAAGGTTATCGAAAAATGATTAACCCTTTTTGATATGAACGGACATCTTCAAATGCATACGTTACATGTTCTTATCGCAAATGGATATTTTTGTCAGATAACCAAAATTGTGGCACTTATACCACTAGATGTGTACAGGCGTTCTTATGAAAAACTTTAACTGGAAACTAATAAACCAAGGTGTAATTCGTGATATAAAAATATGACATTATTTTCATACGCCTTCCAATTAACCAGTTAGTTCAATATCAATACTGAATATGACCTCTATAAATGAGATTGAACCATAAAATCTAATGTTTCCAGTCATTTTAATAAACATCTAAAACATTACTTATAATATTGCTAACAGGTAAGATAAAATGATCTTTCAGCTTCATGTACCAGTACCATGTTGTTAATATTCAAAAAAATATATATTTGAGCAACGAACTGAAGAACAATATGGTTAGTATGAGTTTCTTTTATGATAATAAAAATGTACTCACGCTAGACATTTTGGAAAAGTTTAGATAAACAAATAGCTTGGTATTTAAAATATTCTGAACAGGAAGTTCTAATCAGCATCCATGTGATCTAATTCAATATGCATATGGAGTAATATTTCTTTCAAACTATTTTTCAATTTTTTTAAATTAGAAGTTATAAGTTCAGAGATTTTAATTGTTTCTACAGAATGCAATGACTTGTAAGTTAGCGACAGCACGGAACGTGCTCTTGACAAACTTATGGCACTGGGACTAGTTGTGATACCAAGTTAATAACTTGGGTTATCTCGATCAACTGACAATGACAAAATGATTTTTTTAAATTCTAGACATTAGGTCTTCTCGGAATTGTGGATTTTGAATTTATGAGTCTAGTGACTAGATTTTATATGTTTAAGATCTCTGGAGAGAACACCCATGATAGCCATATCATGTATTTATAGTTACTGAACAACACAATTTGAATAGGTCGCATAAACGCTGTTATATTCACTGTTTGTAGTCCTTTAAATTTAGAAATAAGTGTAATTTTCAACTCTTTATCCTATGATTTCATTTGTTCTCTTCTAACTGTATTTCTCATATTTTGGTTTACTCTGCATTTTATATTTTTGCATCGATTCTGTTAATTATCTTATTGATGTATACTTCAAATGTACTGACATGAGATGTGATAAACTAGAGACATATATATGCATGTCAAATCTTACAAGAAGTATAACTGATGAATGGGCTAACACAAGAGGGGACATGGAGCCAGTGTATTTTGTCAATGGCAAAATATACCGAATCGAAAATAAACCATCTACATTTAAAACTTTAGTCTAAGAAAGCATAAAATAAGACAGTCTTTTAGTGTTCTCTAGTGTAGTAAGATATTACTTTATTGCATACAGAAGCGACACATTATATAATGTAAGCATCAAGTCATTAATTTATATTATTAAATACCATTTTACTTTTACTGAAGCATTAAAACTAAATGATTTCACATCGCTACGATTTTTTATTAATTAATTTGATTTCAACCTACTTTCTTTTAAATCTACGTTTACAAAGATATCGCAGAGATTCATCTTAAGTGATACATGGGATACATTTAATTGTTCATGTAATATGACAGATAACCATTGTACAAAAAATAGTAGAATTATATTTGTAATTTCAATGGTTGCGATCATGAGTCAGTTGAAGCTAGACCACCATGAAAAACCTGGAAGTACTGGACGGCCGTTTTGGCCCATAGCTTCAACTGACTCATGATCACAACTATTGAAATTACTATAATATCAACAAAACCTACTTCTGATATTAATCAACATATGCTCACTAGTGAATGGCTTCAACAGGTATATCCTGAAGTTCTAGTGAGAAGCAGTAACCGGTGGAGTTCAACCAGGTCTGTTGTGAGTTAGTAACTCACTGATGACAATGATGGATGTGTGGCTCGATCTCGTGGATTAGTTGAAATTAGACATTAACACCGTTAGATGCTGACTGACTCAGTGTTCTAATGGTTAAGCGTTCGCGCACGAGACCGCTAGGTCCTGAACTGGAATCTTGTGAGTCGGAATCGTGGATTCGCACTGCTGAGGAGTCCCATAATAGGACAAAACAGGCATTGAGTGCTTTCAGATTTTCCATGGTTGTCTAGCTTCAACTGATTCATGATCTCAACCACTGAAGATTTTAGAAACAATTGAATATTAGAAAACTGTTTTTCATAAAGTTCTCTGAAAATCAATTAACTAATGGTCATGACAATGATCTAAATTCTAAATTGTTCGTTTAATTATTCAGTTTAATTTGTTATGTCAATAAAATGTAGATGGTTAGTGATTTCAAGTTGTTAATGTGATTACTGTTATATTTTGTGGCCTTGTGCTTTATTAATATAAAAACGTAATGATACCGTCAATTAGAGAACAGTGATCCATCGACCGAACGAGTGACGTATAAACCCTTACGAGCAGTCTAGAATCCTTATCGGTCATTCTTCGTGTCTAGCCCTACCTGTTGACTCTGGAACACCAATCTCAGCCCCCAAGATAAGAATCAAATATTTCAAACGTATTGGATTTATATACAAACCACATCGTACCATAAAATAGAAAATAACATTTGTACAAGACCAAGCCAAAAGTGGCTTCAATGGATGAAAATTGTTTAGTAATGGCAAATACTTAAGTAGTATAAAAGAGTACAACTTGTAAACAAACAAATGAATGATAAACCAGAAATAATAGCTCCATTAAATAATTAATACTACATTCATCAACATTTGTTTAGGTAACAATGATTATGTTGGATATACCATTAAAATCACAAGTTGACTAGGGTTAGACAATAAATGGAAAAACCTAAAGGAAGCAGGAGGTCTTTTTGTACTAGTATGGAACTCCG